GTACATACTTAGTTGAGTTTCTTGCTTTATAAACTAACTTGTTTCCTCTAAAAATATCATACGAAAATAATTTTTCTTGTGTGTTGGGACATTGACAATTAATTTTGTATTTGATAAGGAACTCGAACTAAAACGGTACTTTCGACTTTTTTTTTCTTATTGATAGAAAGACCAAAAATATCGGAAAAGCCAGTGGCAATTTGTGTCAGGACTGTGGTGGTACAAAAGCACTTTTCTATGCGGTGTAGTAGGTATCCAACAAGGTTTTTTTTTTTTTACAAAAGATTTCCGCATAAAAAATTCTGAGAGGAATTCGAGCGTTTTTATTAAAGATGTTGGACATAAAAACTGCACCAAAAGAGAATGAATCCAATCATAACACAGGACGAAATGACTGAGTTTCTAACACAAATAAGGTACAAATATGCAAAGACCTCAAGGTAAATACAATAACTTTCCGTGGCTACATCACGGAATGCAGTTCCTAAAACAGCTAAAATCTTTCATGATCTCGTTGGCTTCATTGAAATAAGAAGCTCATATCTCGTGCTTTACGTCTGAAAATGACAATGTGATTATGATGAATGCCGTTGTGGAGGGCTTTAGAAATTTGGACCGTCTGGTGTTCTTTACCATGCCCTGCCATCGTGAAATCCATGGGCTTCTACTATTTCGCCTGCATTGAAATGAGAACGCTTCCGCCAGGATGGAAACCGTGACCTTCAAGTGAGCAGCCGAGCACCCTCACCACAACACCACGGTGGTGGACAATGAACAGCTCAAACTGATATTGTTATATTATGTCTGTATGTCTTCGTGAACATTTTGTAAACAAACGGCTTCGCCTGCAGGAATAAAAGTATTGATTTTTTATCTTTGTAAAAATCAGGTTCTATCTCGAATGCAGAAAGTGTTATGTTAAATTGCACAATTGAACGAGCGTTAGCAACAAAGATATTCCTAAAGCATCTACATATGCTTTTCCTGTTTGTGTGTGGGCGTATCCTTTTTGTTTCCCGAACGTCTTATCGGGCTGCGAGGATGCGCTTATTTCCCGCAACGCTTTCAAGCATCCGTTCACGTTCCCACAGAGATTACTAGGTTGGTCGAGAACCACTTTTGCTCGCTCTTATTGGCAAAATCAAATATTTGACAAAGAACAGAATAACCAAACATCTTTTTTGTAGTGGGAAACACCGGAAACAAAATAAACTATCTTCGCTTTGTGTGCAGGTTGGCAGCAAGAGTATAATTCTTACGAGAAACAACAGGCGCCTTCTTGAAAAATACTCAGTAATAAGTAAGTCCTGCGTTTGCATATGAACTATCGAACAGTGCGATTTGCATTTTAGCTCTCGAAGTACTGTACATTGTTTCTGCGTGGAGTGTACTCCGTGACTGGCGTTCATTGAGGGGCAACTCTTCCTGGCTTCTTTAAATTTACAATTTCACTCATTGTATTTTTTCGAAAGTTTCTCTTTTTCTTTCTTAACAAAATAGGAAGCTCCTTTTATTCCTTAAGTAGAAGCATGAGGTTTTGCGAAGAATATACGCACACGAGGCAGAGCGGCTTGAACAAAGAAAGATTTATAAACTAACTTGGCATCCCTGCTGTGCCTTCCTTTTTGTCATGGCTGTTTTTTACCGCAATTCATTTTACTCGATTCTTCCAATCGAGCCCCAGCGCTGTTTCTTGATCTTTTTATTTCTCTTTTTAATATTACCATTTCTTTTTTTGACACAGCACCCAAAGCAACATGTCTCACACATCTTCCCTCCCATGGCTTTGCGGCATGCATTTAGGAAATTGAATGTTGCCATATGTATTCGTCCGCAGACTCTTCGTATCCTTCGTAGATTTTTGGTAGGTTCGGGGGAAAAAGCGAGAGATAAAGTGGTTGAGCGCTTATGAACAGGCTTGCATTGTGGTTCGCAAAATTTGGTGCAGAATGAGTGCAGTGGTGTGCGAGTGAAAAAGGTCAAAACCAATTTCGCTTCCCGAAAATTTGGCCTTAGTAGCGCTTTCGCTAAGTCAGACACAAAGCGCTTTTATAGAAAGCGACAGCCAGTGTGAACTCAACCTGGTTGACCAAAAATCAAAAATGAAAATTTGAAATTAGACAAATTTATCTTTTTCTATTTCAGGAAAAGATACATGGCACGACTCGTGGTAATAGTTTGTTAAAAGCATCAAGAAAACGTACAGTTGCTATACAGAAACGTGAAAGTATTTCATGCGCAAATAATGAGGGGACAAAGTGAACTTTTTTTTATTTTTTTGTTAGGAGCTTGTTTCATCCTCCACTACGATTAATGTTTTCAGAGTTTCTCGGGCACATTCCTTATGGTTCTCGAGTAAGCATCTTAGTCTGGTTCAGTAATGTGACGAATCAAGGCGGGCAACAGCGTTTAGGAGCCCGAAACTTGGGCCCTCGTAATGATGTCAAAATTGACCGTAGGCATGATCGAAACACTAGAAAACACTAGAAAAACGAAGACGTGGGAGCTTTGCCATTACGATTATCGCCCAAAACACGCATTTGCTCCTCATAGCATAACTTGTTCACTAGCTTGCTGCTCCCTCGATGAGCCTTTATGTTAGTTACTTGGAACTTCTCCACCTGAATTACAATTTACGAAAAAGAAAACAGAGAATGAGTGCCAGAGAATTAACTCTTTTAAACTTGTCTATTCTGGGCGAAATAGGCCCACGCTGCCAGCTTAGTGCCCTCTCCAAGCAAAAGGAGCACTCGGAGAGGTCGAGTAGGAACCAGGAACAGCAGCGTAGCAAAGGAAAGAGAAAAACTAGCAATTGGTGCATTTCTATTGCACAACACTTGTAATTCCACTAGCGTTTGTCTATTACGTAACATTTTCTACTAATAACACCCCGAATAATTTCCATTGCATTTATGTATTTTTGTTGTCATATTATTGTATACAACAAAAAAACGAGGCCTTAAAATTTCCAATTCTTTCCTTTCAATGCCAAGCCAAAATTGTTGACAAGCCTGGTAAACCTACGATGTGCACGTTACTCCATTTACACGAAAAAATGGTCAACCATGCACTAAGGTGAGCTAAGCTTGAAACAGTAAAAGTAAATGTGGAGCAATCTTCAGATTAATCTGGTTGGTTTTTAGGTAGTAGGCTTCAGCTGGGCGATGCAATATTATTTAGAGGTTAATTTAAATATTTTCCATGCTTTAGAAAGTTGGAGCTAGGTTGTTTCTAGGCAGTTGGTAAGATTTCAGTTATAAATGCTGTATTGCTTCGAAGTGGTGTTGTGTGCCTGGGTTCACCGATGTGTCCGCGCTGACGTAAGCTGCCAGGAGTCAGGGTTGCATCGAAGTCGGACTCCGTCTGGTAGCATGGAGAGCATCTGGGTTGAGGAAGTCATGCTGAAGAGTTGGGAAAACGAAAGCAAACAGATTTACTGACAATCTTAAGGACTATTCACAACATAAAAAGGTTAGAGTTCGGCGAGCCGTGAGCGTGGTGGCTGGACCTTTTACCCAAGGTTTATAGGGTCTTCTTGCACTTCAAAGTGTCGTTTTAAGCCCTCAGTAAAGCTTCTCCTTTTGGATTGGAAACCAATCAGCCACAAGACAGCAACCACCATGACACCCGCTAATAACACACATTGTCGCTGATCAGCCGTTGCTCCCGCTTACGCAATGTTCTTCCAATCAGGCACACACAAGGGGGAGGAGGATCCATCCCGGCGGCAAGTTGGCGTATGAATAGCTTACTGCCGTTTCACTCGAGAAGGGCAGCAAAGGATTAAGTGAATTTATCGCTCTTGTATTGACCTACGAGGCCAATTGACCGCGCAGCCTGTATTACCAGCCTATGTCAAGGAAACGACAGCATGGGCGTTGGCTCACTGTCCGTAGAAAATTTCCACATTATTATCCGTTTGTTGCGCTTTCCATTACGTGGTGGGTGTTTTAGAGAAAGGTACAGGGGTGTCAATGTGTGGAAACGCATCCTGAGTACGCGTCTAATGAACAAAGCGTGGTCAACGACTGACCCCCGTATTCTGGAACGTCCCTTCACTCAACGCTTCACCTTCACTTGAGAAAGCCGATGGGAGCGCCGTCTCTAGGCACGGCGAGTCACTGCATATCAGCAATAATCTGCTGCGATTCTTGAGTAGCGCAGCGTCATTTTCAGCCGAGAGGTGGCACAGTGCTCAACCCTGTCAAGTGAAGGGTGGAAGTCGAGTCGAGGAGCGTTCGTGAATACGGGAGTGAGAGTCACAACAGTAGCTGCGAGGCTCTTACCCAAGTTAACGCGAAAGCCTTAGCTGTCAAACGATATATGAAACTTGGCCATCGTGGTCCCGCGTCAGTGGCATCTGGCGTCCCCCGACATCGAAGACGATCAGGGAGGTGATGCAAAGCCAGATGAGGTGCCTTTGATCTTAAAGGCAGTGCAAAACTAAGCAAGGCACCCAAAGCTTCCAAATGCTAGCCTGGCAGCTTTTGAGAGCTTTTTTGGCGAGCTTCTTATGCTCGCGACTTGTGCGGTGGCTGTGCTGTTATCACCCGCTGGTGTTCGAGCTGTACCGCCACAAGAGATAGCGAACGCAAGCTGCGTCCGCCAAGCTGTATGTCACGTGATGTTTGTGAATGTATGCTATTGACCATCGGAATAAACGGGGGGGGGGGAGGGGGGTTCGTGCGTACCCTTCAGCACGGCTTTACGATTTCCTTCTTGCTTGTGCCGACGCTTCGCGCATGCGAGCTGTGTCTCGACATGGTGTCAGAATGTGGGATCTAGGTAAACTATCTTTGTGAATCCGGGTATAGGAGCGTCCCATGCAGTGGAAACCAAGCCTGCGATGGTGATCCCGGCTCTTCATCAGCCGCCACCGCTGGACCTTTGACAAAACATCAGAAAGGTCAGCGTGGATCGACCATTTCGATGACTACCGCGTAACCACACCCCTCAACAAACGCTCCGGAGAAGCCCAGGAGCGCACACTATTTCATACAATGGGGCATCAAGCACGCGAAGTCTTTTGTACATTTGGGCTGACTGAAGACGAAGTCAAGCAGAAGTTCGACAGTCACTTCATCAAAGAGCGCAACATTGTTTACCAAACAGCGTGCTTTCACAGACGTCAGCAACAGCCGGAAGAATCAGTGGACCAGTTCGCGACGGCACTACATGTTCTTGCGGACCGTTGCTATTTCGGAGATATGAAGAAAAGGCTTATCCGGGACAAGTTCGTCATAGGTCTTCATGACGCGCAACTGTCCGAGGGCATACAGATGGACCCGCAGCAGACATTGGCATCGGCGCTGGCCAAGGCTCGTCTCAAGAAAGGCGCGCGACAGCAGCAGCAGTGTCTCCGGCAGGAAGGTGTTCACTCTGGTAGCCCGCCGGAACTTCAGGAACAGGGAACCAGTGTGGACGCCGTGATGCACCAGAAACGACCGCAACAAAGCCTGGGACGGTACTTCTACAGCGACGGCAACGCCCACTCGAGATCTGCGTGCCCGGCAAAGTCTTCCAAGTGCCACAACTGTGGTAACAAAGGACATTTTGCCAAGGCCTGCCTCAAGAAAAGGGTGTCCTCGCAAAGAAAGGTACGCGTCTGTGGGGTCCAACACGATATCTGGAAAACTTTTGTTAAGGCGATTGACGCGCACGGGAAAGCGCGCTATGTGCATGTTACGATAAACGCAGTGCCAATCGTTGCTAAGGTGGATTCAGGTGCAGAAGTGTCGGTTTTACCGTCAACTTTTACAGGGTTGCCCACACACCTTGATAAAACGGAAAGTGTTTCTGGGTGTGGGCGGCCATAAGCTCAATGCACTAGGCAAGTTTGTGGCTGAAATTTCGTGAAAAGTGGAAGCTGTCCGTCAAACTTGCTATGTTGTAAGCCCACTACGTGACGTCCTTTTGAGGCTGGCAGCCTTGAGGCCTAAAATATTGCGAAATTTGCCGAGTAGCTGACAGCAGATCAGGAGAAAAATGAAGTACTTTTTCTGCACTCCGATTGTAGCCTCGGAACAATTCCACCAAACCAACAACACCGAAGATAGCTACTCATCAATACCCAACCTTATGAGCTTCTTCACCACTCTACCATATCTCGTTAATAATAACAATAATAATAACGCAAGGTCACAGTCCTTGCACCAACACCGCAACCCTGTTCATACGTCGTGCGGACAGACGACGGGGTTGATCTCCGTAGGAAAAGAAGAATGCTTCACCGCCTACAGAGAGAACGTGCAAGCACGGAAACCTTTGAGTTTTCAGTGAATGAAGAGCAGCCTCGCGCTGCACAGTTAGCCAATGAGACTGATCTTCACAGTAAGCAGGGGTCTCTCAATCGTAGTCCAAATGAAAGGGGAAACGCGGAAATTTCCACGCAGGCGAGTACTGCCCAATCGGATGATAGCACGGGCGACTTGAATGCAACAGGCGCGGTGCCTCGAACTGGCGTTTTAGCCCATGGTGACTCTGCACGCACAGTAACGGGATACGGTAGAGTGGTGAAGAAGCCCATAAGGCTGGGTATTGATGACTAGCTTTCTGTGGTGGTGTTGTTTTGGTGGATTTGTTTTTGTTTGTATAATGTATACTCTTTACCTCGGGGGTGCACGTGTATGTGTGGTTGTTGTCTTTGAAAGGGGATGTGCTGTTATCCCCTGCCGGTGTTCGAAGTGCACCGCCACAACAGATAGCGGGTGCAAGCTGCGTCCGCCAAGCTGTATGTGACGGGATGTTTGTGAGTGTATATTATTAGCCATCGCAATAAATGGGAGGGTGGGGGTTCATTTGTACCCTTCAGCGTGGCTGTACGATTCCCTTCTTGCTTGCGCCGACGCTTCGCGCATGCGGGTTGTGTCTCAACAGTGGCGGCATGCACACTTCTCCGGTTATTTTAGAAATGCTCACTAGATGGCGCACCACCGCTCAAGGCGGCGCGCACCACTCTCGGCACGCGCACTTCCTTTCTATTCACCGAGGATTCACCCAGAGAACGCTCTTTGTTGCCGCTCGGCCACATAAACACATATGAAGTCAAGCCAGCAGTGTGGTGGGCTCGTAGCGCAGAAACTACTTGGGCTCACCACCGAGACCCTGCGGTGGTAACCTGGAGTACATAACGAAGTAGTCACGTCTATATATGATCGTAGATGTGTATGGAGGATTCGCGGGTTACTCAGTCATCTCCGAACACTCTCCTCTAACAAAATTCACTTTGTGGATGTGGCGGCGATTTTATACATTCGATGAGAGCAAAAAGGCGATAACGCTCACCTTCGAGTTGTTCTAAGTAAATATATAAGCAACTATGGTATCTTTTCAAAGAAATGGTCATGAAGTTATAGGTGGCCCCGTCACGGTGGTATAGTGGCTAAGGTACTCGGCTGCTGACCCGCAGGGCGCAGGTTCGAATCCCGGCTGTGGCGGCAGCATTTCCGATGGAGGCGGAAATGTTGAAGGCCCGTGTGCTCAGATTTGGGTGCACGTTAAAGAACCCCAGGTGGTCTAAACTTCCGGAGCCCTCCACTACGGCGTCTCTCATAATCATATAGTGATTTTGGGACGTTAAACCCCACATATCTATCAAGTTATAGGTGAAACATTGGGTGCCCGCCCGAAATCCACCATACCATCACTTGTCGTAAGCCGTTGCTTATCAGCCGTGCCCTATGACATAGACAGTCCGCGCAGCCACCGAGCAAAGGTTGACCACAGTGCGAGTCGACCACGACAGATTAAACGCCAGTGTTTATACAGGGAGTAACACAAGCAGCTCTGCACATTAGTTCTAGCGCGGGAGTTCCGACATTTTTTTCATGGTCAATGACAGGTAGTGGTTCGACTGTACTTTGCCTATGCAAAGAAGGCCATGTTAAGCCCCAGAAAATACACCCCCTTTACTGTTTTTTAAGCTTTACACAGCTTGTTCAAACTCCTTCCCGATTTTGTTTTCTAGGTTTCTTTAAAGTCGTAGCAAAGATTTAGCTAATTGTCGTTAGGTGGGTTCTAGGTTATTGACTGTGTTGTTATACTCCAGTATCACGCAGCTTCGCAGCTTCAAGCCTTGGTCAACTTAGTGCATTCTTCGAATTTTTTTTTCTATTTCTTCCAATCATTTTTCTCTCTTTCTTTCTTTCTCAATTACTCTCTCTTTATTTCTTCATTTCTCTCTCTCTTTCTCTGCATTTTCTATTTTCTTTTTACTTTTGCCCTCTCACTCTTTCTCACGTGTTTCAAGTAATAATCTTTGCCGAGCTGAGTTCTCGTTTCATCCTACGACCGCCTGTACTAGGTAGTAGTGCAGCTTCCCTTGTGGTGCATATGCACCGGCGGAGCCTCTTATTTCATCTATAAATTAAAGAAAGTTTTGTGCAGTGGCGCGCGACTGCCTAAAAGTTTAATCAAACATCCTCATTGTTACGATAGTAAAGAGAGAGCGTGCTGTTTTATGATGATGATAGTAGGGTTTCAGTCACATCGTACGCATCCAAGTTTTTACGGCTGCTATATTATACAGCTTCGCTGTTAACACACGTCGATCCATTTCGTAACGCTTGGCTCAAAGCAAGAAAGTTGGCATAAGCTGGGCTTCCTGGCTTTTTCGCATTGAATCGGCTCTCCTAATCGAAAGTTTTTATCTAATTTGTTATTTTCGATTAATTCAATAAATTCATTCATCTGTTCTATTCTTACCAAATTATACACTTGTGTGACAGTTATTAATTTACTTTAATTCTTTACGCCTTTCTTCAGCAGAGTGTCAAGGCAGCTTGATTGGTATGGTTGCTGAATGAAACAAATAGTGCACTAAAAACCACACACTCAGGAAAAGCAAACTACAGAACAACAACTGACTGCGAGTTGAAACGTTTATTGCGAAATTCGGGCCTCCCCCAGTATGCTCGCCTATGAAGCGAGGCTGCCGTCTCACTGCATCGGTACAGACATTTATTTTCAGTAAAGAACAAAAATTGAGTGGTGATGGAGGAGCTCGCTCGGACGAGATTAGGAAAACTCGTGATTCCTCTTTACGAGCCTCTTGACGAGTCAGCGCTTGAGGTGCTTTGAAGGCGGCGTCATCAGGCGCGTCCTGCTGCAGACACGGCACAAGAGGAAATGCTCGTTGGAGCTCATCGGTGGTGCTGGCGTGGGACCGACCGTTGCGAGTCGAGGCGACGATGGTGGTGAGTTCGTCAAACCACGAGTGGTCGCATGCCTTGCACCCATGGCCTAATGAGCGAGTTTGATGCAATATGCGTTGATAGTAAATGAGTGGCCTCTATTCGCTGTTAGAAATACCTCCTACGCAATAGAACTATCGTCACAGTTATTTTTATTTGTTCTCATTTGTAATACACTAGAGCTCCTTTCACAAAAATAGGCTTGAAGCGCGTATCAGAGCCGCCAACGTGTGGTTGCCACCACTTTCAGCACTTGACCACTGCTTCCCACGCCCGCCCCGATTCGAGGTTCTCTTGCTACCGCTAGCGTGCCGCCTCTGGTTCGCGGGAACTCAGCTGGCGGTCCGCTTGTCGACTGGCCCACTTTGCTTCAGCTGCGCGAGCCCACACCGCAGCGACCGGTTCCGGATCGATGCTGGTGCTGGCTTGCGATTGCTGCCGAGTGTTGCCATCTTCCTTCAGTCTCGTGAGCCCCACCGTGGGGTGTTGGAGGTGAGCCCGCATCGCGACCACGTTGCGAGCTTTCCGCGCCACTGCCTTTGCTTCCAAGATGTTTATGTTGAGTAGCCGTGGAGAGTTGTGCACTCACTGAGCTCCCGGCGATGAGATAGGTAGGGCGCTGAAAGCGCCCTTGCTCGCGCTCGCCTCCTGAACTAACGTGTACACGCCAAGGGACATGCCTCGAGCATAAGGAGCTTCGCTCCTAAAAGAAGGCAAAGCTACCTCCCTTCAGAGCGCTGTTATGCCCGCCGTTGATCTGAGTCGCGATATAGGCAAGAAACAATAACAATCTTGATTGGCATGCAAGCGCACGCTCTCCTTGTCGCTTTCTTCGTTTTCTGCGTCACTCCCCCGAACACGTGCACCTGGCCCGCTTCCACGCTGCCTCGACCTGTCCGGCGTGAGATTCAATAACTGGCATACCCGATAGAGGGAGAAGAGAGAACAGCGCTTAACGAAATGCAATAACGAATAACGAAAGAGCAGGACAACACAGGGGATGCGCAACACTACCTACAAAGAGAGAAAACAAGAAATCAATAAAAGGAAAGAGAGACGTGAAAAAAAAAAAGGAAATGGGGGGAAACGTAGACAAAAAGGAGCTGCAGAAACAAAAAAAAAATGAAAAAGTGCGAGAAATAAACAAGGACTGTAAGAAAGATTGAATGAAAGCGAGAAAGAAAGAAATAGAGAGAGGAGAAAGAAAGATAAAATAACAATGAAGATTATGCAGCTTCGCTGTTGGTTCCAGCACTGCATCCCTGATGCAATATGTGCAAATTATTTTTCTACTAGCTTGGGTTGACGGGAAGTACAATTCAGCATCGGCTTCTATAAAAGCGTTCGAAAAATTGGGCGTTTTTGTAGCACACCGGGTGGAGAGAAGGTCAGTGACAATGTTAGACTTGTTTATCCAAGCAGAAATTTTTTGGAAAGAGGTCTAGCGTATTTCACATGAGAACAAACAAAAATAACTTTTCAGTTATCTCGCGTATGGGGCACTCTTAACAGTTTATACAGCCGTTAATTTATCTTTAACACCTATAGTATCTAACCCACATTCAGTCATGAACACTGCCACTTTTATCTCAACCAGCACCGCAACGTAATTCCTGTGGTTTAGAATGGAACAAACAATGTTCCGCGCAGTGACTTCCAACTGAC